GGGTGAGAGGTTGGCAGCGGGGGTTCATTGGAGGATATGGAGGTGGGGAGGATTTTAAAGGTTGTGGGGGGTCACTGGGGGCTGCAGGGATGGATACTGAGGACACTGGTGGACAGGGGCAAGCAGGGCATGGGGCTCAAGGATTGTGTGGGGTTTTTATGGGGTTGAGGGGCATGGGAAACATGTGGGTGGGCATGGAGGGGTATGGGGGACATTGGAGGGGAGAATGGGAAGAGTGGGGGGAAATCAGAGGGGTGGAATGGGATGGGGAAGTGTGGAGATCTGGGGTTTAGGGAAATGGGAAAGGCTGGGAAGGGTCCGGGATGGTGACAGGGACACGAGGCCAGGAGAGGCTTTGGATGCTGTGATGCTGGAGAAGGATTTTGGGGAGCTCTGGTGGAGGTGCTGCACGGGCTCTGAGGAGGAAGAGGCACTGCTGGGACAGTCCTTTGGTGTCAGGAGGGAACAAAAAGGCTCTGGGAGCCAGGGTGGCTTCGTGGCTGTTTGCACGGAGCTCCTGTCCAGGAGCATCCTTCACTTGTGGCTCTGGATCGTGGATTGTGGAGTGACTCCTTGTGGTTCTGCCTCTGGGGCTGCGTCACCATCCCTGTGGAGCAGGGAAGGAACAGGGTGGCCAAATCCTTCTCTGGGGCTTGCAGAAAATCCCAGTCCTGCCCCTCTCCCTTTCCCTTTAGAGGGCTGGCTCGGTGCCCTGGCTGGTTTTTCACAGGCTCTGTGCTCACCTTGTATGAGAGGTGTTTTGAAATTCTCTGTTCCATCGCGGGTTTTAGCCTGAAATCAAATAAAAACTTGTTCTTGCTACTTTTTCCCTCTCAAAGGATGTGCCCAGTGCTGGAGCAGTGTAGGAGGCTCTTCCAAATCCTATGCTGAGGGCTTTTTTTCCCTCCCTCTAAGGATGTGAAGTTTTTTACCTCAAATGTGAGGTTTTCAGCCCTGTTGGGTTATAATTTTTCAAGGCACTTAATTATATCTGAAATATGAAATAAGCAGTTGTTTTGTTTGTAATGCTGCTGCCCTGCAGGTCTTTGCTGCACAGGAATTTCACAAATTTGGTTTCCGTGCTCTGTGGTGGGGTTTTAGTGCCTTTTTTAAAAGATTTTTTTTCTTTTTCACTGTTCTTTTCTGAGCAGCTCTCAAACATCCACAGCTGAGGGGTAAAAAGCTGCATTTGCTGGGAGGAAATAAATAATTTGTTGATTTGAACCTTTTATTTTCCACGCTGGGAAGTTGAATCAGCCCTGGAATGTGGGAATTCCCTGAATTTGATGGGATGAAGGAATTGGGGATGGTATCCAAAGGGTCCTTTATGGAATCCCGAGGGCCTGTGGAAAGGTTTGGATGGAATTTCTCCATTCAGAGCTCCCTGTGGAGGGATTTGTTTAACCCCAGCAGAGCCTGCTAAGTTCACACTCCTTAATCTGCTGTGACGTCCAGGAGCAGCTGAGCTCATCCGTGGATCCACAGGGCTTGGGATGTGCTCAGCACAGGGAACAGGAGCTCAGGGTTGGCCCAGGGCATTCCCTGGACAGCTGATGGTGACTTTTAAAAAGCTTCACAGAATTCTGTGCTTGGATTTTTTTATGCAGAGCCTCAAATATCTCTTCCAAGATCCCCAAACCTTGACTTAGAGGTAGTAAAATACATCCCTAAAACTGCCAGGATGCTTAGCCCAGGAAAACACCAGCAGGGATTTCCAAAGTTTCAGAAAACAGAATTATTTTCAGTGAAAAGAACCCGTATTGGACTGAAAAGAATTCTTTTTACTGAAAGAACATTCCCCCAGAGCTCCATAGACAGTAAATTCCAGCAGCAGACTTGCCTGGATGTGGGATTTGCACCTCTGGCATCTCTTTTTCCTACCTGAAAATAGATCCGTGTCCACAGGAAGAAAAACTGCTTCTGCAGAAGGTGGGGAGTGGTGATGAAATATTAATTCTCCCTTCTGAGTCACCCAGCCAGACCGGATTGGATCTCCTGCTTCCCAAAAGGATCAGGAGTTGTTCAACCCCAGGAACAACTTGGTCTGGTTTCCCAGGAAAATGATGCTTGGGAGAGATTCCTGCTCCCTGCAGCCAAATCAGGCAGCAGGCAGAAATCTGAAAGTGAAATTCCTGTAAATTTCAGGGAAATGAGTCCCCCCTGGGAAAGGAACCCGGTTAGAAGTGAAGTGTGAGCTCAGTTTGGAGGAGAAAATCCTCCTGGGGAGGTGACTTTGTTCCCCTGGTCCCATAAAATAATTCCTGGGGGGTGGCTGGGAAGGCCTGGGAATCCTCTGGAGGATTTCAAGGAATAAAAAAGGGGTGAGAACAACTGTGGAGCTGTAAAAGCAGAGCTGGGTGGTGTTTGCTGAGTTCAGAGTTCCCTGGATCCCATTTCCCTTGGGTAAACAGGAGGAAAGTGAGGCAGAGGCCGGGTGTTCCTGGGCTGAGTCACTGTCTGAGCCGGGATTAACTCCAGTGGCCCTTGGGAATCCTGCTCCCAGCACTCCCTGAAACCTGGGAGAGATTCCTGGCACTGAGCCCAGAGCTCCTCTGGCCCAAAAACCTTGGAGATTCTTCCTCTGTATTGACAGAACCATAGAATGGTTTGGGTTGGAAGATGATCCAGCACTAATGATTCAATTCCAGCTCCTTTCCAAGGGCAGGGACACATTCCACTGATGGCAGTGTGATGGTGGCATTCCAAATTCCCTGTCTCACCTTCCCTGAGCTTCCAAACTTCTGTCTTTATTTGAGGATGAACCCTGAATCCATGGATTTCCCTGTGCCAGGAAGGTGGGAGATCCCACCCACTGCTGGAGGAGAAATAAATCCCAGAGGAGCTGATGGTCCCTCTCCAGGAATTGATGATCAACTCCTTTCTGCTTCCAGGGGATGTTGGGAATTATTATTATGGCCAAGGACATCCCATGAAACCCCACAGGATCCGCATGACCCACAACCTCCTGCTCAACTATGGGCTCTACAGGAAGATGGAAATCTATGTAAGTGTGGCATTATTAGATGTCATAATTGATGTTTCATGCTTTAATTGTGGAGCTCTTCCCTGAGAGGAGAGGAATAAACCCCAGTCAGTTGTGTTGATGTATTTCTGGTTTTTTCTCTGTGTTGAGGTGAGGGGTTCTATGCTTCAGAGAGGCTTTGGAGACTGGAAAACTGGTTTTTATCCTTGAAATTAAATTTATTTCTACGTCTGCATATGCAACTTGCCAACAGTGCCACTCTTGCCTTTCAAATGCAGTTTTTCTTATTTAACGCTGCTGATTTGATACTCTTCCCAGTTCCTGGGGGTAAATCTGGGATTTGGGAATTAGGGAGAGGAGGAATTCCAGAGCAATCCTTGCTGTGTTGCTGTCCTTGCAGCGTCCTCACAAAGCCAATGCAGAGGAGATGACCAAGTACCACAGCGACGATTACATCAAATTCCTGAGGTCCATCCGCCCTGACAACATGTCTGAGTACAGCAAGCAGATGCAAAGATGTGAGTGATGCTGCAGCTGAAAATCTGGGATCTGGGAATCCCAGCCCAGCTCCAGAAGTTTGGGATAAACTTCTATCAGTTGTCATTCTCTTGACTTTGCTTTTGATTTTTCTGGTCTCTCTCTCAAGCTAAAGGAGCTGGTGGAAATCCTTTGAGCTGGTTGGATTTTGGGGTTTTTTTGTTGCCTAAATTCCCTTCCTGGCTCGGAGATGACAGAACTACTCCATTTCTGACCTGTGTGGATTTTGTGTTAACGCTCATCTTCAACCAGAAATGCTGGGGCATTTAAAACCAGCAAATTTAGAAACCCCAACTCCTCAATTCTGCCCCAAATCTGAAGGATTTCAGGGCAAGTTTGAGATACTCATCAATACCCGATGATTTTGTAGGTTAATTGTGAGCTGATGTCTTGTTGCAACCTCTCCAATCCATGGAAAGGTTCTTTAATGGTACAAAAACCTGGATTTGCTGTCTCAGCCACTCTGAGCTGATGTTATTTTGGCAAAGTAGATTTCTAACAAGTCCAGACAACCAGTGGGAAGTGCTCAAGCTTCATTCAAACAGCATTTTACTCTTGGAAACCACCATGAGCTGAAGGGGACAGATATTTCTGCATGAGGTTCATGATTTCAGACACACTGAAAGCCTCCCCCCAGTCCATGATATTCTTTAATCCACCAGATGACATCCAGCAAAGTGCATTTTTTACCCAAACTGACCTGTTTACCCCTGGAGCAGCCACAGCTCATGAACACTCTGCTCTCTCTGGTGCTCAGTGTTTTCTGCATTGTGTTTTATTCCTGAAAAAGCCAAAATATGAAAATTAAGTATGCAAAGGACAGAGCTTTTCTTCAACAAAACCTGCTGGAAAGGGAATGAACAGTTTCTAATTCCATTTTCACATGCCAGACTTGGGCAGAATAAATCAAAGGACCTGAAGTTTAATTTCTTGTAATGAGTGACTATTTTTAATGGTGGAATTAATTACAGTAAAAATTTATTGAGGCTAAAACTCCAGTTGTGCTGAAAACTGTGTGATTTGAAGTGAAAGGAGTGTGCAAAGTGTCAGCCACACATTTCCATTTTATCATTTGATCACAGCATTTTGTTTAACCCTTTTGGCCACTTTTCAAACCCAAATGGTGGCGTAAGATTTGGATTTTATTTCTGCTTTTATTTTAATGACTCTTTTCCATTCTCTTCCAGTTAATGTTGGGGAGGACTGCCCTGTGTTCGATGGGCTCTTTGAGTTCTGTCAGCTCTCTGCTGGAGGCTCTGTTGGTAAGATCACAAATCCTGTGTATGTTTTATTGTGTTTTATGTCATTCTGTCTCTGTGAACCCATTGCTGATTTAATAATTAAATCCAGATTTCCTCCAAGCTTTGCCTGTTGAATCCCTTTCCATTTGTTAATCACTGATTTGGGTTATCTCACTGAATGGGTCTGTAACATCACCAGTGACAGAGTTAAAACAAAACCACAACAGCAAGGTTGAATTAAAAAAAAAAAAAAAATCAACCCGAGCTTTACATTAAAATAAAAGTTGTACAAGTCTCACTCTGGGCTGGCACAACTTGGAAAGGAAAGACCAGGGTGGCTTAGCTGCTGTTTTTAAAAACTCTGGATGTGAGGCAAAGCAGAAACTGAAAGGTTTGAGAGCTGGAACATCAAAACATTTCTTATTTTCTCACAATTCACAGCAAAACTGCTGGGGAGTTGTTCATGTGCACAAAGCCTGAGAGCTTTGTGGCTGCTGCCACAATGACACCTCCAGTCTGTATTTCCTGTGCCAGCAGCACCCCAGCACTGACTGCAGCAGTTTTTGAAGCAGCTCTGTGCTCTCTCTGCTCCCAGAGCTGGAGAATTCCACAGAATTTATAATTTATTTGGATCCTGGGAGATTCCAGAATGTGCAGAAAGTTGATGGAAGGGGCTGGGGGAGGAGAACTTCCTTTGCCTGGATGCATTTTCACTCAATGACCTGAATATATCTCAGCTAAAAGCTTGATTTGTTCAGGGCTCTGAGAAATCCAGCTCGTCTCCAGTGTGACACCAGCTGGGTGCTGGGCTCTACTCTGTGGAGATTTTTCTGCTCTGAGGCAGAAATGGGAAGGGATGTGAAGTATTTCCCATTTTCCCTTGGTTTGTGGGGAAATTCAGAGTCAAACCCTTGAGCTGGAGCTTTGTGGAGCCCCCAGAAAACCCCGGGGAGGAGCTGGAGCTTCACCTCAGCCTCTGGCCCAGGGTTTTCACTCCTGTTTTAAACTCTGTGTGGTTTTCTCCCCCAGCCAGTGCTGTGAAGCTGAACAAGCAGCAGACAGACATCGCAGTGAACTGGGCAGGAGGTCTCCACCACGCCAAAAAATCAGAAGCTTCTGGTTTCTGCTACGTCAACGACATCGTCCTGGCCATCCTGGAGCTCCTCAAGTATGGGCAGCACCACTGGCTCCTCTTCCTCACTGCTTTCTCCTCAGGATTTTTATTTTATTCCCTTTTTTTTACTCAGCAGAGCTGATTTTTTGGGCTCTGCCCCCCTCTCTCCCCAAAGGGATTTGTCCAGCAGGAGGCAAAGGATTTTTGGAGCTTTTTGGGTGTTACATTTTTTGCTGCTGTTCTTTGTCCCTCCCCTGTGCCACCCACCCATGGCTGTGTGACAACTTCTGGCTCCAGGCAAACCTCATTGGGGGAGGGTTGGGCATAAAAATGCGCTTTATTGGCTAAATCTGACCAAACTGAGCTGAATCTGAAACAAACTCAGCAGCAGAAGTCACTTATTTTCTGTTCCACTGCTGTCCCTTTCCTGCAGCTCCTTCTCCTGTAAATCCTGGCCCGAATTCCATGCTCTCCTCCCAGTTTCCTCTGCTCTGGAGGCAGTTTTTCCTTGGCATAAATGCAATATTCTGATTTTTTCCAGGTACCACCAGCGGGTGCTGTACATTGACATCGACATCCACCACGGGGATGGAGTGGAGGAGGCTTTTTACACCACAGACCGAGTCATGACCGTGTCCTTCCACAAATATGGAGAATATTTCCCAGGAACTGGGGACTTGAGGGTGAGAGCCAAAAAAATTCCCAAGAAATTTGGGTTTTTCCCAGCTTTCCTGGTTGTCCCTGCTCAGCGGGCAGAGGTTTGGATGGGGAGGCTCCCTGATCGTTTATTAAACCCAAATCTTTTCTCTCAGTCTCTCTCTTGGTGGGGTTGTGCTCACAAAAAATGACTCTGAAGGTGACATTTTGGTGACAAAATTCGGTGACACAAGCTCTTGGGTGAAGGTTTGTGAGGGAGTGGATTTTTATTGGCATTTCCTGCAGTGCCTCAGTTCTGTGTCACTCAAAGTGTCACCTTGTGACTTGTGACATTGCCAGAACTTCTGTTCTCAAGGGTGAAAGGTTCTTTACTTATTTTTATAGGATTTTTTTTTTAATATATAAACCCTCTCATCTTTCACTTGGGATTTGTATTTTTTTTTCAGCCCTGCCAAGAGCTTGGTGCTGCTGTGGTATAAATGCAATAACTACTTTTAATAAACTGCTTAGAGCGATGAAAGAAATGTTCTTTTTAATAAATGATTTAAAAAAAAAGTTTCTTTTATCACTGTGAGTGATAAAATAAATGTTAAAATACATATTAAT